AAAGAAAGAAAGAAAAATGTGATTCTAACCAAATCAAAAATATCAGCTCTATTCAAGTTCCATTTAGGATAAAATTTCATCTCAATTCACACATGTCATTTCACCTAGTTTGCTGAGCTCCAAAGGAACTAAACTAGCTCTGGAAAAATAGTTATTACTGCTGCCATTCTAATTAGAAAAAAGCAATTTTACAAAGAAACTGCTACCCAAAAACTGCTACAGAAGTCACTTTGCTGGGCATGGTGGTTCACAACTGTGATCCTAACATTTTGGGAGGCTGAGGCAAGAGGATTGCTTGAGCTCAGGAGTTTGAGACCAGCCTGGGCAACATACTGAGATCTCATTTCTACAAAAGAAATAAATAATTAGCCAGGTATGGTGACACACACCTGTAGTTCAGCCACTCAGGTGGCTGAAATGGGAGGATCACTTAAGCCTAGCAGGATTATGAACCATGATCCTGTCACTGCACTCGAGCCTGGGTGACAGAGTAAGACCTTGTCTCAAAAAAAGAAAAAGTCACTTTAAGAAGGTGAAGCAAGATTATCACTTTTTTCTGGGTCTTATCTGGCCCACCCCACTCTGAGCCAATTGTTATCACCGGATGCAGGCAAAAGACATGGATGTTTTTATAAAAATTCAATAAATAAACATAATACTATAAAACATCCTGAGTTTAAAATCCCAGTAGAGCTGATAGAGTATTGTATTGTAAACCAAAAATAAAATTCTAGGGCCCCCCAGCCATCCAAATGGACCCCTCCTCTTGACCAAGGGCATTCCAAAGTTAACCTGAAAAACTAGGCCATGATGGGAAGGAAGAGCCAGACATACCTCATTACACCCCCTTCCCTTTTGGAATTCAGACACAGCTGACCAGCTTTAACATCAACACAGAGACTTTAAGACTGATAGAACAGACTCTTTATGTTTTGTTTTGTTTTTTTTTTTTTTTTTTTAGACAAAGTCTCACTCTGTTGCCCAGGCTGGAGTGCAATGGCGCAATCTCAGCTCACTGCAACCTCCACCTCCTGGGTTCAAGCAATTCTCCTGCCTCAGCCTCCCAAGTAGCTGGGATTACAAGCATACACCACCATGCGTGGCTAATTTTGTATTTTTAGCAGAGACAGGGTTTTGCCATGTTGGTCAGGCTGGTCTCGAACTCCTGACCTCAGGTGATCCACCTGCCTTCACCTCCCAAGTGCTGGGATTACAGGCATGAGCCACTGTGCCCTGCCAGAGGTTAGTTATTCTAAGTCACAGGATGACATAAGTGGTCAGCACAGATACAGGTCACAAAGATCTTGCTGATAAAACAGGCTGTGGTAAACAAGCTGACCAAAACCCACCAAAACCAAGATGGCCACGAAAGTGACCTCTGGTCATGCTCACTGTTGATTATATGCTAACTCAATGCATTAGCTGCTAGAAGACAGTCCCACCAGTGCCACGACAGTTTACAAATGCCATGGCAACATCAGGAAGTTACATTATAGGGTCGAAAAAGGGAGGAGCCCTCAGTTTTGGGAATTGGCCACCCCTTTCCCAGAAAATTCATGAATAATCCACCCTATGTTTAGCAAAATTAAGAAGTAATAAGTATTAGCAGAGCAGCCCACAGCAACTGCTTTGCCTATGGAGTAGCCCATTCTTTTATTCCTTTACTTTTTTTTTGAGATGGAGTCTTGCTCTTGTCACCCAGGCTGGAGTGCAATGGCATGATCTCAGCTCACTGCATCACTGCAAGCTCCACCTCCCAGGTTCAAGCAATTCTCCTCCCACAGCCTCCCAGATAGCTGGGATTACAGACACACACTACCACCACAGGCTAATTTTTGTATTTTTAGTAGAGACAGGGTTTCACCATGTTGGCCAGGCTGGTCTTGAACTCCTGACCTCGTGATCCACCTGCCTCAGCCTCTCAAAGTGTTGGGATTACAGGCATGAGCCACCACGCCTGGCCTCCTTTACTTTCTTAATAAACTTGCTTTCACTTTACTGTATGGACTTTGCCCACACTCACAAAAACTTAGAGGCAGAGAGTATGTTAACCCAGATTAAGAATCCCTACCGCAGAGGAAAAGACTGGTGGGCTTTGTTTAAATCACACGCACTGCGCACTTTCTTTCGCGAAATCACAAGCGCTGCGCACTTTTCTTTCGTGAAATCCAAGCTCCCTTGGGGTCTTGATAGGGACCCCTTTTCGGGTAACACTATCTGATCTGTTTTTACAGATGTGCCTGGATTACAGTTTCACAACCAGCATTTAAAGAAAACCAATTCTTTACTTTTCAAAAAGGAGACAAAACAGTTTACAGACAACCCTGAACAAAATCCTCTTCCTTCTCCTATGTTCTGTCCTCACACACTTGGATTCCAGGGCCTCTAACAATGACAGTTACCAGTGCTACAGCCCCCACACAAAAAGCCACAAAAGCAGTTACCCTCCAACTTTCTTTTTTTTTTTTTTGAGATGGAGTTTCGCTCTTGTTACCCAGGCTGGAGTGCAATGGCGCGATCTCGGCTCACCGCAACCTCCGCATCCCG